CGATTGTTCAATTGTATAAGATATTTATACTAAAGATAAAACTTCTGTCCACTTTGGTCCCCCCATCTAACATCAATACGCCATCTTTTGTCTTGAGAGAAATAAAAACTTTTAATCTTTGTTGATTGATTGTGTTGGAACTTTTCAACTTTTATTTGTCGTGAAGCTCGGTGGACAAACTAAAGAATTTTAAACCTGTGTTTTGTTTAAGAAGCCGTTGTTTTATCTTCACAACTTCAAATCTTTGTAAATAGAAATTTTAAATTCTAACTTTAAGTTGATTGTTCAAGTTAAAGAAAAACGTTTGTTTAAAAAGATTGCCACTTTTAATTGTAACAACATTATATTTCATTGGCTATTTTGTAAAGCTTGTATTAAGTGAGCACTAAGTCGTGGAAATTGTATGCTATGAAAATGTAATACACAATAACACATACTTATGAAAAAACAGCTACCTATTTATTTGGGCAACACTTTGACATGTATTCTTTCAACGTTATACAGCTAATACAGTAATGAAAATGTACAATAATAATAATAACGGTCTATTTACCATTGAGTATGTACAGCCTGTCCAATACTATGGGTCCCTCTAGAACCACAAATTGCCTGTCCAATACTACAGTTTCCTCTAGCAAAACAAACTGCGTGTCCAATACTATAGAGTCCTCTGGCACCACATACTGCCTGTCCAATACTACAGATTCCTCTAGCACTACAAACTGCCTGTCTAATACTACAGCTTTGTCTAGCACCACAAACTGCCTGTCCAATACTACAGCTTCTTCTAGCACCACAAACTGCCTGTCCAATGCTATGGGTCCCTCTAGCACCACAAACTGCCTGTCCAATGCTATGGGTCCCTCTAGCACCACAAACTGCCTGTCTAATACTACTGCTTCTTCTAGCACCACAAACTGCCTGTCCAATACTATGGGTTCCTATAGCACCTAAACTACTGCCTGAGTAAAGTTCTTTTTACCTTGTAATAGAGATGGTCGAACTATTTAAAAAATGCATAGTAGTTCTGTGACTTGTGCGGTTCCATGGACTAGAGGGAGATGTAGATTCAGCAATTTTGAATACGAGCTAAAAAAATATAACTTTTCTCTAATATTAATATTTTCAAGGAGCCGAGGGTAGTCAGTACTGAATTATTGCACACAAAAAAAATGTTAGTCCCAAAATAATATCGTTTGTATTGAGTGAGCTTAAAACCCCATTTTGCTCTCTCTGTTCACTTTAACTCTGCCCTAATTCATGCGTTAAAAAGTACTGGACATTAATGACCATGTAAGTTTATAGTTTACCGACTAATTAGAACAGGGTGGACAGGTCAGTTAGTATATACTAAATGTCAGGTGTGTCATGAATACAGGTTCTCAGGTGTTGACTTTAATAATGGCCTGATTTTTACACCTATGTGTTTAGATTTTCTATATAACGATGATTTGAACTTTTATCTTTTGTTACCTGTAATTTATGGTGTTATTGGTAATATATCAATTGGATCGTTTTAGATCAGAAGGTCAATCATTGAGTTCATTGGTGTGGTTTCTATCCTGAAATCCTATGTGACAAAGTGTTGGCCTACCTGGCTAGCCTTGCAGGTTTTCTCATGGTCCTCTGGTTTCCTCCCACTGCTAAAGTAATTTACGAGCAAATAAATTATTGAAATAAAATTGTACCTCATGTTATTCTCAATAAAACCTAGTTCGGGTTGAGTGGGTGGTAAACCTCTGTCTGTCTGTCTGTCTGTCTCTCTCTCTCCTTGTTTCCCCTTGTTAGTGGTGTAGGATGGAATAGTGTGGCAAGGAAAAGTGGCAAGCCTTTTGGATGGGATAAAAGTAATAGGTTCTGTCAGTATATACCATTGGCGGGCCATTAAATATTACATGTACCTGACAGTTGAAAATGGACGAGTAGACCTTACCACTGCTGCCTTGGCAAAATGCCCCTAAGAGCACACTGCAGTTGGTGCAGAAAAAAGTAAAATGTTAAACCAAATTTCATCTTTCACCTTTAAAACATTCTGTTCTATATAATTTACACTGGTTACCTGTTAAATATCAAATTGATTTTAAGATTTTATTACTTACTTTTAAATGTTTAAATAATTTAGCTCCTGTTTACCTCTCGGATCTTTTAGAACTTTATACACCTGGCCGAACATTACGTACATCAGATAAACTACTTTTAAAGCCCAAAACTGTTCAACTAGTCTCTTATGGTCAGCTCTTTTAGTTATCAAGCACCTGTTTTATGGAATAATCTACCATTTAGTTTAAGATGTTGTACATCTCTATATACTTTTAAAAAACAACTTAAAACACATTTATTTAATCAGGCTTTTAACTGACTCTTTATACAATTGTTAACATGTCCATAATCTCGTTGTTTATTTATGATTACATTGTCACTTTGTAAAATGCCCCTGAACATGTTATATGAAAGGGCGCACTATAAATATGATGTAATAATAATAATAAATGTGCACGCTGTATCATAAGGTCTGTCATTGAGTCAACTGGCATGGTTTTGATTCCCTGGTTGTACATGACAAGGAGTAGGATTGCCTGTCAAACGTTATGCATTTTTTCCGGGTCCTCCGATTTCCTCACACTGCTAAAGACCCCTACGCCCAAGGGAATTATTGAAATAAAATTGAACCATATGTTAGTCCCGAAATGACCTAGTTTGTGTTGAGTGGACGTTAAACCCCATTTATCTCTCTCTTTAAAAACATTCCATTGTTTCAACCCTACAAATCAATAAGATTGTATAAATGGAATATTTGAAATTTTAGGCGGATTATCAGGTTTTTAGTTTGTTGCAAAATCAATACATTTGGTTGTCTTTTGTGATCATTATTTTCATCCGAAGGATCATTTTGGATAAAATCTGATCGACCCAGTTCTCATGATGCAAGTGAAATATTTAATGATTGCCATGACCTCATGTCAACCTGAGCCGGTCGCCATTTCGATGTGTTTATTTTGTAGTCAGTATGGAACTTTAAGACAGGTTGGAGTTATTGGCAAGGAATCAGACCCACACTCGGCTTACACACACTCGACATGTCAAACAAACTTGTCACTGTCGTCAGTGTCGTTGATATCGGACGAGAATAAACGTTTGACTTTGATCTCTGTAACAAGTCTTTGTAGCAAGTTTTCTCTGGCTTTGTGTTTCGTGTTTTACGCTTGTTGACGACTTGTTGTGTAATTTACGTTTCTTATCGACGTGTCCAAGTTGACAGAATCAAATCACATCCTGCATGGATTCTACGGGAAAAAAATCAGTCAGGAGTGAAAATGTTACATCTAGGGACTTTTGATGTCTTTCTGACCAGAAAGGATTTTCAGCAAGGATTATAATTAAATTGTCTTATCAACGTGTCGAAAGTTGACAGAATCAAAAACGACATGCTGAGTGGATTCTACTGAAAAAAACAAACAAATTCTTTCGCGATTATCTAAAATGTTGAAAATGTTACATCTGGAGCTTTTAATGTCTTCCTGACCAGAAGGGATATTAACAAAGAAAGTGATTTGAAATATTCAAAGTAAATCGTGTGGATTTGAAAGAATCATTTATCTGCGATACCTTTGTTGGAAGCAGACGTTAAGTCGCACAAACGAACAAATGGACAAACGAATCACATTTATTTTTTAAATCCTCGAGGAATTTATGTTTTAATTTGAGAAGCAGACGTTAAGCCACACAAACAAACAAACGGACAAAAAATTATGTTTTATTTTTTTTAATCCACGAGGAATTTATGTTTTAATTTGAGAAGCAGACGTTAAGCCACACAAACAAACAAACGAACGAAAAATCATGTTTATTTTTTTTAATCCATGAGGAATTTATATTAAAATTTGAGAATTTATTGATTGTAATAACCTAATGGTGTCCACAAAAATTAAATTGTGATTTTGATCAGAAGTTATTTTGTTGATAAATTTATATATTGAGAATTTATGGATTGTGATAACTGAGTGGTGTCCACAAAAATTGAATTATGTTACATTTGTGATCGGAGTTCAGAAGGATTACATGGACAAGTGCTTGATAGATAATTGTTGATATTGATATATTGTTGATAAATTTGTATATTAAGTATTTTCCTGATGACATTTAGAATGCGAGCAGGTAAGGTGACGATTTTGTGGATTTTAATTTCATTTCTCTATATATATAGGGAGTTGCGTGATCGACTGGTCAATTGCATAACTTCAGATCATAAGGTCTGTCATTAAGTCAGTTGGTGGTGTTTCAATCCCAAGATTGTATCTGACAAGGAGTAGGATCAAACGTCTAACCTGAATTTTCTCAAGGTCCTCCGGTTTTCACTATTAAAGGCCCCTACATGCAAGTGGAATTTTAATATACTTGAACCATATGTTAGCCCTGAAATGACCTAGTTGGTGTCTTGTGGACTTAAAACCTCATCTGTCTCTCTAGAATAACTTGACCTGTTCAAATTTTTATCATATTTTTAGTGACCCAATTGTCACAGTATTATAGTTTTTTAAAGGATTCATAATGACCATCAGATCACGGCCGCAGATCTTATTAAATTTTAGGGGGGGACGAAGGTGGCGGATGCCTGAAAACGCTATCTGAGACCATTTCTGAGCATTCTACAGAGATGAACGTTCCGAGAATAAATTGTCGTTTTTGAGCGAGACTTGAAATTTTATTGATGCATTTTTCTGGGGGGGACGAGGCATATGAAATCCCTCCCAGTGAAAATCCATGGGGGCGTACCCCCCATCCCCCAGGGATCTCCGGCCTTGCATCGGATTCACAATGACCATCGGATTCACAAGACCCCTAAGCGCAAGTGAATTATTGAAGGCCCACAGCGAGTGGACATTAAACACTATCTCTCTCTCTCTTAAAAAGCAAAAGTCTTTTTTTCCAGAAATTATGCATTGTGCTATATGTATTTTGGATTTAAGAAAACATTTTATTTATTATCTTGTCTATTTCAGGAAGACGTGCTCAGCTTCGGAAAGGTATTCGCGAACAACAAGCATTACAACGCAGCGTGGTAAGTTTGTTTTCTTCGCATTTTACACATTTCTCTTTTCATCGAACAAAATAATCCCAATCCCTTGTCTTGTTTTAACGATCGACCTCTGCATATAAAGAAAGATGCATTATGTTCTCTGACGACTACATAGACATATCTGTTGCATTCTACGGAGCTTAAAAATCAATTTTTGAGAAGATGCAAAATCTTTTGGAGTTTTGTTATCCATACTAGTAATAGACATATTTGTTGCTTTCTACGGAGCTTAAAAATCTTGATGTGTTGAACATGGATAACATTTTTTTATTTTTTATATTTAGTTATCTCCTCTGTGGCATTCTACGGGGCTTAGAAATCAATTTTTAAGAAGGTGCAAAATCTTTTGGAGTTTTGTTATCCATACTAGTAATAGACATATTTGTGGCCTTTCTATGGAGCTTAAAAATCAATTTTCTTCGTGTGTTGAAGATGAGCCAAAAAAAAATTGAATATTTTATTATTTTTTTATTATTTAGTTATCTCCTCTTGTTTTACTATCAATAATTATTTTTATCTCAAGAAAGAAAAAAAAAAATTTGCAATGCAATAGATTTTTCTTTGGCGATTACGATCTATTTTATTTGCCTCTCGAAGAAAGTAATTTTTTAATGTGAAGTCTTACAGCCTAATGTTTTGATTTTCCTTAGAAGAATTGTTGTTATTTTTTTGTTTGTTTATTTGTTTGTTTGTTGCAATCTTCAAAAAAGGGAACTTGTTGTTTTGAATATAAACACACTTCTCCTGTATGCAGTGTATTTTTACGACACATCTTACACATTTTAATTTGTTTTTTAGATGTTGAAGTATTTCGCACAAGGATTTGCAAAGTGTTCTTATTTAAGTTCTTTCAGATAAACACCCTTTCAAGTGGCGATAGGTTTCAGTTTATGCGTCGAGACATTCCCAAAATACTCAAGTAGTTGTGTTTCAATTCACTAGAGCCTATAATCGGCCATAAACTTGTATTTATTGATGGATCAAGTGTACGGTGTACGGAATTAAGATATCCCACATATGAAAAAAACAACCTTCTATTAAGTCAAAATTCTTGAGGGAAAAAAGATGTGAATCAAATTCAATTATGTAGAAATGTTTTCATATAAATTTTTTGAATAAGTCAACCAATTGCTACATTATTGGTGCATATATTTCATAGAAAACCCAAATTAGATGTGGGTCAGTGAAACTGATATTAAATTCTATTTGTACGCTATGTCTTTATTCAAATATACATGCCTGTACATACGGACAATGGATATGCACGTAAACATTGAGATAAAAGTCAAAAATTAATCTTGGTCAAATACTTTGAGTTCTTGTGTTTAGAAATGAAATGAAATGAAATGGGGTTCAACGTCCGACTGTTCTGCTCTTAACTGGGTTAATAAAGACGGGCATACACCATACAGTGTGCTATGAGGGAAATTTTGCCCGGACAGCGGCGCTACGGCCTACTCTTATATCGAATCTCAACTGTCAAGGGTTCTTTTATGTTCACCTCAGTTTTTCGTCGGATCGGAACGACCATTGTCCTTTGTCAGACCCTCCGTCATACACCAATGTGTACACAGGACCATCGGTTTTTCGTCCCATATAAACGACTAGACACCTTCCTTGTTAGGCCCTCCGTCCTGCATCACTGACAAGGGAGAACCACGCCGGAAAATCTGGATGAAATTACTCGACCAATGCAGGGATTCAACACCTGACCTACAGGCTAGCGAGCCAGCGTCTTACCCACTTAGTCACCGTGACCCCCCTCTTGTGTTTAGATGTTTAAGTGTATTTAAAAAGATTATCCTGTCTTACTTATTATAGACTGATTGGATTGATTGATTGATTGATTGATGTGTTAAAGCTGACCTGGATTTAATTTTATTACATTATCTGTTTGCATCATGGAGCCATGGTGGCTAGGTGGTTAAGACGCTGGCTCGCTAGCCTGGTGGTCGGGTGTTCGATCCCTGCATTAGCCGAGAAAGTTCACCGGGATTTTCCAACGTGGTTTCCCCTTGTCAGTGGTGCAGAACGGAGGGCCTGACAAGGACAGCTGTCTAGTCCTTCGGATGAGATGAAAAACCGAGGTCCCATGTATATATTGGAATGCACGTAAAAGATCCCCTGGCAGTTGGAATTCGATATAAGAGTAGGCGATAGTGCTGCTGCCCGGGCAAAATTTCCCTCATAGCACACTGTATGGCGTATGCCCGTCTTCATTAGCCCAGTTCTGAGCAGAACAGTAGGACATTAAACCCCATTTCTTTTCATTTCATTTCGTTTGCACCAAACTGTATTATCCCAGTTGGTGCAGAATAGTGGGACGTTGAAACCCATTTCATTTCTTTAACAGTGGAAAGTAACCCCTACGACTTAGCAAAAAATGGAGTTTATCATCCACTTCACACAAACTAGGTCACATTGCGACTAACATATGGTTCAATTTTATTTCAATAAAAGGGAGTCAAAACATGACACTTGACTCAATGATACACATTGTGATCAAACATGCCCGTGTTAAACCATTCGGTCACCCAAGGGGGGTTGGATGGCCCAATGGTTAGCACGGGTGTGCGCTGTATCATAAAGCCTGTCATTGAGTCAACTGGCGTGGTTTCGAATCCCTGGTTGTACGTGACAAGGAGTAGGGTCGTCTGTCCAACCTCATGGGTTTTCTCCAGGTCCTCCGTTTTCCTCCCACAGCTAAAGACCCCTACGTGCAAGCGAATTATTGAAATAAAATTAAACCATATGTTAGTCCCGAAATGACCTAGTTTGTGTCGAGTGGACGTTAAACCCCATTTCTCTCTCTCTCTCACTCTCTTGGTCACCCAATGCCTAATTTTCTTGCGTGTAGGGGTCTTTAGCAGTGAAAGAAACCAGAGGCTCCAGAGAAAAACAACGAGGTTGGATAGGCGACCTTACTTCTTGTCAGGTACAAGTAGGGGGTCAAAAACATGATACTTGACTCAACGACAGACCTTGTGATCAAAGGTGCCCGCATAAAACCATTCCATTCGGTCACCTTAGATTAATTTCACACAAAATTGGATTTGACACTAGGATTAATTTCATGACTGCTTGGCTGTCAAAATCCTAGCAATATATACATCACATATAGTAGCTGTATGTCTTATTTATCAAATATCCCTGACCCCTTTATAAAGCGTGACTCTTATCCAGCCCCTTTATAAAACAGATTATAGGGATATAGGTATAAATTATCATGAGTTATGTGAGACAGGTTCAATCATGTGGGCTAATGTAATTTACCGTGAATAATATGAAGTATTAACTCAGCCATCAAGGTCTCGCTGTGAAACAACAACAGGCCCCTAACTTGATAAACAAAACCCTTTTTCACACCATAGTCAATTCACTACAGTATATTTACTCCTGTATAAAGCCAAGTGGTCGGGATAGAATATTTTATTAACCGCACGTTATTGAGCTATAGTTGAAGGCGATGATAAGTTAAGTTAAAAGACGAAGGATTAACAAAAAACATTGATGGACATCTTAAGAAATCACCGAAATTGTATTGAATGGAGGAACATTTTTTAGCTCTTGTATCAAGGTCAAAAATTGTTGATGTCTCGATTTGAGGATTTGTTCATCTGATATACACCTGTACAAAGCCAAGCGGTTGGGAGAAAATATTTTATTAACCGCATGTTATTGAGCTACAGTTGAAGGCGATAAGTTAAGGTGAAAGACGAAGGATTAACAAAAACTTTGATGGATATCATTTATTTTTTATTGAATTTTTGTTCTTAGTCAAAGGACATACTAAGAAAGCACCAAAATTGTGTTGAATGGAGGAACATTTTTGAGCTCTTATTTTGACGTCAAAAATTGTTGGTCTACATTTGAGGATTTGTTCATCTGGTATACAAGAAAGAAAGAATATAAACGATTTTTTAGTTCTGATATTGACGTCAAAATTGTTGAATGTCTCGATTTGAGTATTTGTTCATCAGATATACGAGAAAAAGCACAGAAAGAATATAAATGATTTCTTAGTTCCTATATTTACGTCAGAATTGATGATGGTCTCGATTTAAAGATTTATTCATCTGATAAGTTTGGATTGTAAAGAAATCTCAGTTGAATGGATGAACCTTTTCATAGGTCAATGACAGCGTAGTGGATTCATTTGGATTAAAAAGAGACCCATCAAGATTTTTTTAACGAACACTTATGAGGAGCTTTGGCTTATTTACATCATCTGCAGAGGATGCTGAAGGTTGAGAAATTTTCAAGTCAGCATATCTTTGTAGATACTGAATGGAATTGAACAATTTTGGGATTGATATTTCTGTTAGAGATTGAACTGTCACAATCTTGTAGTTTGCAAGGGATTTTTAATCACTCGAACGACAAGCAGCAGATTAAACAGACTAATGATCCATATGATTTGAAAAGGAGGACTACAATATTTTAGGGGTACAGTTTGGGTTAAATTGTAGGATTTAGAAAGTGAGAATTGGTTGAATAAAAACCGTATTTAGAGCAGTTCTTGGATGGCCAAAGGGTTTAATGTGTGTGCGTTAGATTATTATTCCTGTCAGTGAGTCAAGTTGATTCCCCACTTGTATGTGACAAGGAGTAGGGTCACCTGTCCAACCTTGTGGGTTTTCTCTGGGTCATCTGGTTTCCTCCATTGAAATAAAATTGAACAATATATTAGCCCTGAAATGAATTAGTTTATGTCGAGTGAACGTTAAACCCCATTACGCCCTCTCTCTCTATTGAGAACATGAGAATTTTATTGAAATGAATTAGAACATGGTAAAAGTATATTGAAGGAGTTTTTTCTATGTTAAACTATAGTTGTTTGTATCCTAGAGCATGTCGGAACAGGTGAACTCAGATTCTTAAAATAATAAATAAACAGACTGAAAAAATGATTGAAGGAGCAGAGTTTGTTTAACTGTGTGGATTTATAAAAAAAAGTATACATGTTTCATTGTGGATTTGTA